TTTAGATGATGATGAAAAATTTGTGGGAAGGAAGTTTCTGCTGCGGCTTTCTCATCAATATCTGATCAAAATGTGATTTTGAAATGCGAGCTTGGTCTTCTACTAACATCACTAAGTCACAAAAGAGAACACAAACAAAAAACAGGAAGTTAAACTGCTGTGATTTGGTCATCGAGACAAAACTGAAATGAAATGACATCCACCCAGAACGCTTCCCTGAGAGCTGTTATAGTGTGTGCACTGGCCTTTTTGTTTGTTTCAATAAAGCCCCTGACGCCATGGGACCATAACAGAGGTTATAAAGCGGCTGGTTGCTGGTAGCCTGAGCTGAGCGGGCATGACTTATCAGCTCTCCACACCAAGCAAAACATGGCTATTATCAATCCGACAGGTTTAAACTGGGCAAACAGGGCTGCTGTGTTTTAACAAACAACTAACAGACAACTTGTTTCTGTCAGGAGTCTCAAGACAGCCATTGCCTAACCTGTTAGAAATGCATTACTGGCTTTGTTCAGTTCAAACAAAATCGAAACGATACGTAAATAAATTACAACATTTACAAATTCTGCTTTGTGCTTTTAGGGAAGAGAAATGTTATCATGTCTCTGCAGCACTGTCAACAGACTGACAGTGCAATTAAGTCAGCTTCTGAGAATCCATCAACTGTAAATAAATAAAACAATAAAGATAGAAAGAAACAAATTAATCGGAAAACACAAATGTAGTTTTCGTTGGGTTCGTCAAAAGTCAAACCCACCCCCCTCAACATGTGTCCTCGGGTGAATGTCACTCCCAGACATCTTGCAGCTAACATCCCGTTAGTTTTTAGCTGGCCTGCTGCTGTTAGCTTGCTGTTACTGTACCTACCACCTTCCTTCCTTACCTGTACTGTTACTGTCAAATGGATCCATGGCTGGATATCTCAAAGAGCCCCTCGCGTCCAAAACAAGGGGACCTCCTCACATTTACAGCAACTCGACAGACGTGATGTTTCTATGGCTAGCCACGACCCACCGCAGGCTATCCGACGTTCACAATAAATAGCAGCCCGTCCTCACTGTACTAACGTTAGCTATGTAGTAGCTAGCTAGGAACGAGCCAACTTCCAACAATTTTAACTGACTGAAAGACATTCGTTCAGCTAACGTTAGCTTGTTTCCTTAACTTTATCGTCCATAGCTGTTTACTTAACTAATACGTGAATACGGCGAGGTTGTCTAAAATGTCAAACCTTACGATAGAAATATGTAAACAAATCTTACTCCAAAACGCTCGGCAAACTAACTAGCAAGCAAATGACACTTTCCTTCCTCCCCAACCAGTTGTTGACAACCTCCCATCAAATTACAATACTCACACACTATTGGACGATACTGTCGAGGGCGGGGCCAGGGCGCCACAAGCACAATACACACACACACACGCACACACGTACACACGCACACACATACACGCACACACACATTTCTTTGCTATACTTATGAGGACATCCTATTGCTATACATACATTCAACCTTTAAACAGTGTATGATGTCAACCCTAACCGTTAGATGCGTAACCTTAACCCTCACCCTAACCTCAACCTATACTTACAAGTCTAACCTCGTCAACATGACGACTTCCAAACACACACTCACACATACTTTCACTCTACTTATGAGGGCAATGCAATGCTCCAAATTAATTCCTTGAAACCATGATAGTTCTTACCACACCTTAACATCACGTCTTAACCCTAAATTAAATTAATATGATTAACACCAAGCATGCATACACATACACAAACAGGCACACACAGTGGTTGGACTTGTACACATGTACACAAAAACACAAGGATGTTTGTCAGTTAACACACAAAGATGGTACAGATAACCCTTTTATTGTGCATTTGGTGAAGAATCAATTTACAGAGAATTTGTGTTAAATCGGAGTGGATCTCTCTCTCTCTCTCTCTCACACACACACACACACACACACACACACACACACACACACACACACACACACACACACACACACACACAATTCATGGTACACGCACGATTCATCACAAACAGACTGCTACTGATCAGCTGCCAGTTTTACTAATTAAATTTTTTTCTTAACAAATTAGTCCCCTCAAAATTAACAAAACGCTTTTTATACACAAAACTGTCAACTCTCCAGTGATGTCAAGAACATTACAATTTCCAAATAAAAACACACTTAGAAATTAAAAAACACCATCAAATATCCATTCTGTGGCATCTGTCAACCACAACCTCTCTTTCGGCTGTCCTTCACTTCATTTGCTCATTCACCCAATTTCTCAGAGTCTCTAGGTTCCTCTGAATCCACCGAACATTTTTCTGTACGTTGTCCAGGGCAATCTGAGTAGCTCTCAGCTGAGATGTCTGTTCTTTGATGGACTCAAAGAACAATCGCACCTGGAAATCAAACATACATACATTTACACAAATGCAAACAGGGACACAACTGAAAAATGACTTGCTTTTTTAGACATGTCTTTTTAGGTCAATACCAAAATATTTTACAACTGCAAACAGTAATTAGTCCTTTGTGTCTCAGAGCAAATGGAGGTGCAAAGAAGGTTAGGTTTCTCAGACACTACCATTTTAAAGTCATTTTCAGACTTCAGATTTTATCACTAATTTGATATTTCATTGGATTATGTGTAGGAATTAAAATCAAAACATACCCATCAACCTTTCGAAAATACTGTCAATAGAAACAATATTTCTGATATTGACAATGCTGGTAGA